GATAGGGATAGGGATCGCGACCGCAAAGATGGTATGAGTGGCTCATTGATTGTCTGGTAATTGGCTTTTGGTTTGATTTGTGGTGTTTTGCAGACAAACAGAGGGATGAGGAGAAGGAGGACCCGAACAAGACTGGAGAGAAGGTTAAGGAGAAGGAGGGCGAAGCCATACGGGAACGGTATTTAGGTATGCGATCACATACCTGTCCCACACACTCACACTCATTAACACTCGCATATACTCTCTGTCTATCTCTCACTACATCTCACTCTTAAACCAATCACTAACTCCTGACTCTCTCTCTCTCTCTCTCCCAACCCCTCCCTCTCCCCCACCGGACAGGTATTGTGAAACGGAAGCGTCGGGTGCGGCGTCTGAATGAACGCAAGTTTGTGTTCGATTGGGACGCCGGCGAAGACACGTCTAACGACTACAACATCCTGTATAAGGACCGGCACACCATCCAGTTCTACGGGAGGGGACACGTGGCCGGCATCGACATCAAGAGCCAGAAGAAGGAACAGTCGAAGTTCTACGGAGAGCTCCTGGAGAGGAGGCGCACTCACGCCGAGAAGGAACAGGAGTTGGTTCGCCTCAAGAAAGTGCAGTCCAAAGAGGATAAGGTTAAGTGGGATGAGAGGCACTGGACTCAGAAGTCCTTACCGGAGATGACGGAAAGGGATTGGCGTATATTCCGCGAGGATTACAATATAGCCATCAAAGGCGGGCGCATACCGAACCCGTTGAGGGGGTGGGCGGAGGCGGGCCTTAAGAAGTCGATTACCGATATTATCGATAAGTGCGGGTATAAGGAGCCGACGCCTATCCAGCGCCAGGCGATTACGATTGGGCTCCAGAATCGCGATATTATAGGTGTGGCGGAGACCGGTTCCGGCAAAACGTTAGCCTTTTTGATACCACTGTTGGTTAGTAGGGCTGTCCCTTACCATCGGTTGCCATAACACTAAACCCTAACTCATGTCTCCCTATCCGTCAGGTGTGGATCACATCACTGCCTAAGATCGAGCGCCAGGAGGACATAGATCAGGGCCCGTACGCCATAATACTGGCGCCCACTCGCGAGTTGGCCCAACAGATAGAGGAGGAGACCATGAAGTTTGCGGCGGCGCTCGAGATCCGCACCGTCGCCGTCATCGGCGGCATCTCTCGCGAGGACCAGGGCTTCAAACTGAGGCTCGGCGTCGAGATAGTGATCGCAACGCCCGGCCGACCGATAGACGTACTCGAGAACCGGTATCTCGTGCTCTCCCGGTGCACATACATAGTGCTCGATGAGGCCGACCGCATGATCGACATGGGCTTCGAGCCGGACGTCCAGAAGATCTTGGAGTACATGCCGGTGACGAACCTGAAGCCCGACACGGATGAGGCCGAGGATGAGGCGGCGCTGATGGCTAACTACGCCTCCAAACACAAGTACAGGCAGACAGTGATGTTTACGGCTACTATGCCGACGGCCATTGAGCGCCTGGCGCGCACATACCTGCGCCGCCCGGCGTACGTGTATATCGGGTCAGTGGGAAAGCCTACGGAGCGCACGGAACAGACGGTGTATTTGGTGACGGAGAACGAGAAGCGCAAGAAACTGATGTCGATTCTGGAGGCGGGAGTGGAGCCCCCGGTCATCATATTTGTGAACCAGAAAAAGGGGGCCGACGTGTTGGCCAAGTCGCTCGACAAACTCGGCTTCAGCGCCTGCACTCTGCACGGGGGTAAGGGTCAGGAGCAGAGGGAGTACGCGTTGGCCAGTCTTAAGACGGGTGTTACCAGAAAAAGGGGGCCGACGTGTTGGCCAAGTCGCTCGACAAACTCGGCTTCAGCGCCTGTACTCTGCACGGGGGTAAGGGTCAGGAGCAGAGGGAGTACGCGTTGGCCAGTCTTAAGACGGGTGTCAAGGATATACTGGTGGCTACCGATGTGGCCGGACGTGGTATTGACATTAAGAACGTGTCGATCGTTATTAACTACGATATGGCGAAGAGTATCGAGGATTACACGCATAGGATCGGTAGGACTGGTAGGGCCGATAAGACCGGACAGGCCGTCAGTTTCCTCACGAAAGACGACTCGCATTTGTTCTACGATTTGAAGCTACTGTTGACGCAGTCGCCGGTGTCTACCTGTCCGCCCGAGTTGGCCAACCATCCCGAGGCTCAACATAAGCCGGGAACTGTAGTCCAGAAGAAGCGCAAGGATGAGACCTTTTTGTGTGATTTTTGGGCTGTTTTTGCGGTTTTTGGCATTCATTTCAAATGTTACAAATGACATTTCAACAAGGCCCGAGACTAGTATCAATGACGCCATGTCTGCCGATGGTGATAATAAACCAAGGTTATAATAGAAATTGTATTTACCACATAATCTGGTAGTTCAGTTTATGGAAACTT